TCTCCGGCCAGGAGACAGTTTGTCAGACGACCCCCAAACACTGAATTCAAGCCACAGTACACTGTGAAGACAGTGAAGCATGGTTGCGCAAGCATCATGATATGGGGATGTTTTTCATACTACGGTGTTGGGCCTATTTATCGCATACCAGGGATCATGGATCAGTTTGAATACATCAGAATACGTGAAGAGGTTATGCTGCCTTATGCTGAAGAGGAAATGCCCTTGAAATGGGTGTTCCAACAAGACAATGACCCCAAACACACCAGTAAACTTGCAACATCTTGGTTCCAGACCAACAAGATTGACGTTATGGAATGGCCAGCCCAATCCCCGGATCTTAATCCAATAGAAAACTTGTGGGGTGACATAAAAAAATGCAGTTTCTGAGGCAAAAGCAAGAAATAGAGAAGAACTGTGGGATGTAGTCCAATCATCCTGGGCTGGAATACCTGTTCACATGTGTCAGAAGTTGGTTGACTCCATGCAACACAAATATACAGCAGTTCTCAGAAACAGTGTATAAGAATACAAACACTGCTATTTTTTGAAGTCTAATATTCACTTTTCTTCCATTTTTTTAGAGGAACAACACAAATTTGAAATATTTTTCTTCATATTTTGATTTGGAATAGAATGTGTAGTGCTCCCAATGCATTTGTGTGTATGGAAATAAAAGCTATTAGAAGGATTTTGAGCTTTATTCACTTTTTTCAACACACTGCTATTATTTTGAACACAACTGTATATGCATGTGAATGAAAAAAAGAGAAGAAATCTCTGCCAAAAAAAAAAAGTGTGTGGTATGCCCACCATTAAAATATATTGCCCTGCATCCACCCACTTCTAATGGTGGGCACACATTAGGTCACACTTTACCACACGTCGCAGTTCCAAGATTGTACAAATTGCTAAATAGTGGCACGCTTGAATAAAATGTGCACGTATAAGTGGTACACCATATGGAAAAAGGATGATTAACTATCTTGCCACTTCTCCCCATGTAGTCTGGGCATCCTGGGAGGGCTCCACATGACTATATATTCCCTCGTGAATCCGAAACTTATAAGTATAGCCTGTTGTCCACAGGTCTTCTACATCTTGACCCCATATCTGGCACGCTTGCTGGGGAGAAATTGAATGCAAGGTGGCCAGAAAAATTAATAAGGGACTCATCAACGCAGATTTTTTGCTAGGGAGTATAAACATCTGCAAATTTTTGGTTAAGGTGGTTTACGAGGGGCTGAATTTTGTGTAGCTGGTCAAATTCAGGGTCACCTCAAGGACAACAGAGTGTATTGTTGTTGAAATACATAAAACACATTATACTCTCATATCTATGCCTGGCCATGGCAGCAGAGAACATGGGCATATGATGAATCGGGTCTGTGGACCAATACAACTGCAAATCATTTTTTTTAGTAATGCCCATGTTGAGAGTTAGGCCCCCAAAAAATATAAATTTGAAAACCGTACTGGGTTTCCATGCTAATGGTCTGGCAAGGTATGAATTTTGGTTGGCGGCGATACATTGTTGTGCATAGAAAATGCTTTGATCCACAATCAATACATACAGATCTTCCGTGAAAAACAGCTCCAAAAAATCAAGGGGAGTAGTTAAATTTGCTATTTCCACCTGAATTCCGGGTTGGGCAGTGAATGGGGGAAGTACGGCTGCTGCAGAAATTGTGGGTTGCTAATCGGAAGGATACTAAGAGCTCTATGGGCCTGTGTGCGAATTCTTGGTGGTTGACAATACTTCTGCTCGCCACCGCACCAGCTTGTACTGCACTTATGGGACTCACCACGTCACCAAGTCATACTGCAGTGCTGGTATTATTATTAGCTCAGCGCTTTACAATATAACGGGAGACAATACAGCAACAATACAGTTCAATACAAGAGGGTTAGGAGGGCCTGATCCTGGGAGCTTACAATCTAAGAGGTATGTGAAAGACCAGGATGTGAAAGACCAGGTATGTGAAAGACCAGGTAGCGCAGCACTAGTACTAGCACTCTGCTGCATTTGAGAGTCATCAAAATTTACCAGAAAGTGCTAACAGAGATCAGGCCTGATTCTGCCAACACTGCGGTTGTGTGTGCAATGTATCAAGTGACACTGACCTACTGACACTGCACTTACTAGGGTAGAAGGGTGGTAAGCGTAGGGGCTAAACGCAGGTGCCGGGGCTGATCCCACTAACGCTGCGTTTTTGGGGACGCTATACTAATGTGAACGCTGGTATAGTGCTGATCTGATCAAAGATATTGATCCGTTCAGACACTATACTAGCAATGGAGGATTATTGTGTATAAGCATCTTCCTGGTAATCAAGGGGCTAAATGTGATTACTGGTGTACTGACGGCAATCTGACGCCATCTGGGAGGGGCGTGAAAATCACCTATATATATGTGATTTTGTGCACCTGTGCCACCCTGTAGCAGTATTTCTGCTATAGGGCGGTCAGGAAGCGGTTACATAAGCGGTTTGTGTTACAGCGCTGTGTTACTTTAACTGACAATTGTGCAGTCATGCAACGATGTACCAAAATTAAATTTACATCTGTTTTTCCCCGCGAATTGGACTTTCTTTTGGTGGTTTTTGATTGCCTGTGTGTTTTTTATTTTTTGCGCTATATAAAAAAAAGCCCGACAATTTTGAGGAAAAAACAATATTTTGGACTTTTTGCTATAAAACATGTCCAGTAAAAAAAATTTAAAATCAAATTTCGTCATAAATTTCAGCCAAAATGTATTCTTCAACAAGTGTTTGCTAAAAAAAATCCCAATACATGTAAATTAATTAGTTTACATGAAAGTTATCGTGTTTACAAATGGCGGTATAGATACTGGATTTTTTTTTAATACTAATAATAGTGATGATCAGTGACTTATGGCGGCGATCAGCGACTTACGGCGGTGATCAGCGACTTATGGCGGTGATCAGCGACTTATGGCGGGACTGCGGCTGCCATTCTGACACTGGGGGGAACTGACTTGGGGTCACTGACATCCCTAGTGACACCAATACAGTGATCAGTGCAAAAAAAAACATGGACACTGTACTAATGGCACTGGGGAGGAAGGGGTTAACTTCTGGAGACAATCAAAGGGGTAACTGTATGAGGGGAGTGTTTTATTAGGGGGCAGGGGTGTGTACTGCTCTGTTACACACTGATCCGGAAGTCTGTGACCAGCGATCCAGAAACAGTGTGCTGAAAGCTGACAGGGAGGAAAGCTCCATTGAAAACAATGCAGCCTTCCTCTCTGTCAGTGATTGCCGGCAATCGTCAGGCTCCGGCAGGTAATCACCGGCTGGGACCCGGTGATTGACACATGTGGCCGCGATCGGTGTCGCAGGTAGGGCGGTTGCGCGCCTCGCATGCGCCCCCTACCCCGGAATGCAGGATCACGTTTATATACGTGATCCTGCGCACAGGAGCCGCCTTGTAGCAGTATATTTACTGCGGCCGGTCCCCTAGTTGTTAATGGTGGCCGCACAAAATATTGACACTTTGGGCCCAATTTGGACATTGTCACTTAGGGGTGTACTCACTTTTGTTGCCAGCGGTTTAGACATTAATGGCTGTGTGTTGAGTTATGTGGGGTCAGCAAATTTACAGTGTTATACAAGCTGTACACTCACTTCTTTACATTGTAGCAAAGTGTCATTTCTTCAGTGTTGTCACATGAAAAGATAGAATAAAATATTTACAAAAATGTAACGGGTGTACTCACTTCTGGGAGATACTGTATATATATATATATATATATATATATATATATATATATGTATATATATATACTGTGTGTAGATAGATAGATAGATAGATAGATAGATAGATAGATAGATAGATAGATAGAGATAGATAGATAGAGAGATAGATAGAGAGATAGATGTATATATATATATCTGTATCACCTTGTGTCTTGTGACATTGACTTTCATGTTTAAAGGGTCATGATTGTGTTGTACATCTGTCAGACCATGAGCTATCTGCTTTGCATGAAGCACTGTGGATTTTGTACAGATGGTACAGGTACTATACATATGGTTCCCGATTAAGCGTATTATGAATGATCTTCAAGGCAGTAAGCAGAAAAAAACAGTTTATATGCACATGAATTTTTGTCCTGTGAGCAGCATCTATTTATCTTGGATTAAAGATCAAGGTTATTTAAAAAACTGCTAGTGCAGATTTTTTTTTATCTTCTGTGTACTTCTGCCTTCCCTGTGTCATATTTGCTCTGCCTACTATAGCTAAGCCCTATTTGCTTTTTCTGTTGGCACTAAGCTCTAGGGCATGACTATAATGAGGCTTTGCTGTGCCCATCGTCTAAATGTAATAAGTATTTCTCGGTTCCTGCCAGACGTAATAGGGTGACCTATGCCAAATACAATACTGACAGTGGACAAGGGCATTGCACAAGGTGCTTCAGGATCTTTGACTGCAAAAGCCAATGCAGGCATCCTCAGGCAGTAGGCACACAAGTTCTGTGGATTTGGATTTGGCAGTTGCCCACATTAAAGAAGACTCTTGTTGGCAATTAAAGCTTTATGTGAATCTGTGCACAGGCTATACAAATTAAGTATTACATATTCTAAAAGAGCACTAAAAAGGCTTTTAAAGCAAACTGGAGAAGTCTTTTTTGTGATCTTTGAGGATTTTTGAAAACACGAGTCCACATTACAAGCAGCTAGAGAGGTCAGGAATGGCTTAATTACTTATTTTAAAGCCCCTTTACAGCTTGTTAAGAATATGTAATGGATTTAAAATGTACGTAGTCAGGGCACAGGTACACTTTACAGAAGAATTCTAGTCTGGGCAAAAACCTATGTGCCACATCTTCCCCCTACCATATACAGGACATACAGGTTGTTTTGTCTAGGGCAGGGGTGTCAACTCAATTTCATTGTGGGCTGCATCAGCATTATGGTTACCCTCAAAGAGCCAGTTGTATCTGTAAGACTATATAAATGTATCTACTCTTTTGCATATTAAATGATTGTCTCTGCATTCAATTATTACTGGTTTTAGTAATACCTTATTACCAGTGGCGGACTGACCATTTGGAAACTCGGGCACTGCCTGAGGGCCCGGGGTCAGTAGGGGGCCCCATGAGATGCCCCTGGTACCTTTTTCATAGGCTTTTTTGAGTTTTGGCAAGGACACAGGGGCCCCATGATCCCCTATTGCCCAGGGGCCCCATGAGTTGTCAGTCCGCCCCTGTTTATTACTTAAGTTGTGAAGGATAGGTGCAGACCGGCACAGAGCCCATCCACATTCCTGTAGCAGATGATACAAGTCTGAAAAGGAGGGTCGCACACCGTTGGTATCATCCACAAGAAACTTTACTGGAGGTTGCTCAGACTGAACATGGTTCTGCCATGGTGTTTTGTCTGAGCAGTCTCCAGAAAACGTTTCTTGTGGATGATACCAGCGGTGTGCGACCCTCCTTTTCAACTGGCACAGAATTGTATTATTCTCATAATATTTATAAGGAGATGTTCAGAGTATCCCCCCTTACATTAGATGTCAAGAGCCCCCCACCCTCTCTTACATCACAAAGCACCCCCCTGACCTTGTGCTGGTGCCAGGAAGAAGAGATCAGGGGTGGCGGAGATGTGTTGGCTTCACAGAGAGGCACAGGACATGTAGTAGGAGTTCTGTCCTCCTCTCAGCTGCCAACTGCTGAGACAAAGAAGCCAGAGAAGATCCTCTCCGAGGCTGCATGGAGAAGAACAGGATCTGGCAAATGAGTTTTGTCCTCCTTTCTGTTGTGACTGCTGAATCAAGGTAGGGGAGAAAATGAGGGGGGTACTGCAGCTGCAGGAGAGGTGTAAGGGCCACATGAAATGGCCTGGTGGAACGGATTTGGCCTGTGGGCCTTGTGTTTGACACATGTAGTCTAGGGGAATCTTAGATTTCCCCACAGTCCCACAACAGACAGTGTCAGAATGTGGGTGAGCATTCTGATGCCAGAATTTGGTTGGCACTCCTACATCATGATCACTGCCCCATCATTGTGTGTGATGACATTGCAGAAAGGTCCAGTGGTTTGACTATTGAGAATGCCAGCAAGAGCAACTGCTAACCTCCCCACAGCACTTTCTTCCTCTGACTTCCTCCTACCTCTGACTTTCACATATTATAGTATAAAAAAGTGACATGGAGACCAGCAGGAGGAACCTTTGACATCTGGAACTCAGGAAATGTTTTAGCATCAGCTGGGCAGCACAGTGACTAATTGATGAGCATCTCTGCCTGGCAGCACAAGAGTTTGAATCCCAACCACGGCACTACCTGCCTGGAGTTTGCATGTTCTCCCTGTGCCTGCTTGGGTTTCCTCTGGGTACTCTGTTTTCCTCCCACACTCCAAAGACATGCTGGTAGGCTCCTGTCTAAATTGGCCCTAGTATGTTTATGTATGAATGCGAGTTAGGGACCTTAGATTGTAATCATCCTTGGAGCCGGGGCTGATGTGAATGTAAAATATAAATGTAAAGCTCTGTGTAAATCGTCAGCACTATACACGTACCTATAATAAATGAATAAATCAGTAAGTACTGTTTTCTTTTGGCAGTTTGGGACATGGTGAACATGAAACACAATCACCACATGGCAACAAGGCTGATAGTGACTATCTACTAAAGCTGGCCAAAGATGGTTATTTTTTTTTTTTTTAGTTCAGCCAGCAAGGTGAATGCATAAAAATAACAAACAGATTTCTCCATCCACACAAGTGAGGTGGATGGAGGAATTCCCCTTGCCCACCAGAACATTGTATTCTAACAGTGGGACTTTCTGTTGTCAGAATAGACTGACTAGCCGCTGTTTGACAATATTTTTCCAGCTTGTCCTGCGAACGGGGACAGTCACACATGGATCAAAATTCAACCTGTTCCTGCTGAATTTTTTGATCCATCTGTGGCCAGTCTTACCTGTATAGCCTGCTCACAGTGCATGCAGGCCTTTAGTGCCCGGTCATACTGGGTGCGACTTGCCATGCAATTTGCCCTGCTATGCGAATTTCAAATCACATGGCAAGTCACACCCTATTGTCCGCAATTAAAGCGGTCATATTGGTGCGATTCTGACTTGGTCAGAGTCCTACCGATTTTGATAGTAGTGCATGCACAACTTCAGGGACGACTTGCATAGACATCTGTGTTTTGCAAGCCTCAGATGTCTTGCAAGTCGCACTGGAAGTCGAAATGACATCCAGCTGTGAAATCCGACTTCACTGCAAGTTGCACGATTTTAAAGTCGTATCGGTGTGACCTGGGACTTAAGATGAAAATGATAAAGTGTGCGCCTGATGTAGAAAGTAACAAAACAAAATAACCAGGCAGTGAATTTCCAGAAGAGCAGTGGGTTTATTAACCACTTGCCTTTCAGAAGATTTACCCCCCTTCCTGACCAGGCCATTTTTTGCAAAAGGGCACTGCATTACTTTAAATGACAATTACGTGATCATGCAACACTGCACCCAAATTAAATTTATGTTGTTTTTTTTCCCACAAATGGAGATTTCTTTTGGTGGTATTTGATCGCATGTGCATTTTATTTTTCACTATAAACAAAAAAAGATGAGAATTTTGAGAAAAAAAAAACAATATTTTTTACTTTTTGGTATTAAACGTGTCCAGTAAAAAAATTTTAAAAAATCAAATTTCATCATAAATTTAGGCCAAATTGTATTCTGCTCCATGTCTTTGCTAAGAAATATCACAATACGTGTAAATTAATTGGTTTGCGTGAAAGTTATAGCATTACAAATAGTGGTTTACAGTATATACTGGAATTATTAATATTTTTTTATACTAGTAATGGTGGCAATCAGCGACTTATAGTAGGACTGCGGCAGGCATTCTGACACTGGGGGAATCTGACTAACTGTCACTGACATCTCCAGTGACACTATACAGTAACCATAAAAAGCATGGACACTGTACTAATGACACTGTGCAAGAAGGAGTTAACATCTGGGGTGATCAAAGGGTTAACAGTGTGCTGAGTGGTGTATTACTGTGTGCTGTGTGTGTTTTTACTGTGTAAGCACATTGAAAAAAGAGCAAACAGGTGGCACAAACACCTAGCGCATTATCCAAGATTTATTGAGAAGTAAGAAGACAAAAAACATGCTCACAGACATATCATGTATGTTAAGCTTTGTATGATAGAGATGGCCGCAAAAAAGGCAGGGTGTTCCAGCTGTCAGTGTGGTCAGTTGTGACGCGTTTCGGGGACAAATCCCTTGAGTAGCTCTGAGGAAAGGGATTCATCCCCGAAACGCGTCAGACCTGACCACACTGACAGTCAGAACATCCTGCCCTTTTTTGCAGCCATTTCTGTCATACAAAGCTTTACATACATGCTATGTCTGTGAGTATGTTTTTGTCTTTTTACTTCTCAATAAATCGTGGATAATGTGCTAGGTGTTTGCGCCTCTGTTTGCTCTTTTTCCAGTTGTTGATTCCCCCATCTGAGGAGAGCTGCATCCCTGAAGCATTATCCATAGGCCACTCCTGTCCTGGTTCCCTGAGCCTCCTTTTGGCATTTGATTCCTGGAGCGCTGGAGAGTACACACTCTTTTCTAGTGTAAGCACATTGCTTTGTATTGCTCTGCTATGCAGAGCAATACAAAGCAGTGTTCAGAAGCTGATAGGGGAGATATCTCAAACGTTTACATACAGACCTCTCCCCTGTCAGTGATACTTGGCGATTGCCGGTTGCCGGTGGGGGGAATCACTGGTCGGGACCCGGTGATCGACAGCTGAAGCAGCCGGAAATGCAAAATCAAGTATATATACGTGATTTTGCACAGCCCTGCTGCCCTGTAGCAGTATTTCTGCTATAGGGCGGCAGGAAAGTGGTTATTATCAGCAAGTCCAAAACATGCTCAGAAATAGAAATCATATACTCCTTTTTTAGAATCTTTCACTATAGAATTACATGTGGTACCATATGATTGGTTGTCAAGACATATGTCAATATGATTAACATAAATGAAAAGATAATCAATGTCTTCACGTGCAGGCCATAAACCTTTCCCAAGTATAACTGTCTTAAAAAAAAAGATACCAATATGAAGTACAGAGGTCATCTAGAGTTCCACTTTTAAACATACATATTTTATATCATATTTTACTCTTACATTTCTAGAAATAATAACTGTTGCTTGACAATAATAATTTTTACTTATTAGTTATTAATACATATGCTAAGTAATATAAATAGGATGAGCATATGGGTTAATATGAGCAGCCTACTACATACCCTTGCCCCTATTACCTGAGCTGAGAAGGATAGTGTTTGGACATCCACACATAAGGGTTGATTTACTAAAGGCAATTAGACTGTGCACTTTGCAAGGGTTAGCTGCACTCTACAAGTTCAATTGCTCCAGAGCTTAGTAAACGAAGTAAAGCTTCACTTTTGCAAAGAATACCCAATCACATGTAAAGAATTTTTGTTTAAAAAACAGCATTTTTGATTGCACATGATTGATTGATGGAAGTCAGCAGAGCCTCTGCCCATTTACTAAGCTCTGGAGCAACAGTTCTTGCAGAATGCAACTGCACTTTGCAAAGTGCACAGTCTATTTGTCTTTAGTAACTCAACCCCATAGACTATAGTGATTAGGCAGTAAAGGGTACAGAAATAACAGCCACTGACCTTGGGAGTACTACCCTTGGTCCAAGTTTATTCAAATATGTTGGGGGAGAAGCTGCAACATAGTTAACCAGTGTGTCATTGTCACGGAGCTGGCCCTTCCCCCCCATCCTCTAGGCTTGCTGCCTGCCACCCCCCCCCCCACTCCTCAACAGCCCCTCACTCTTCTGTCTTGTCCATGCTGGGACTTCTAGTCCTCCGTGTCCCTGACACAGGCAGCCCCCAGCAGCCCCTCACCCCCCTGTTGCCTGCAGTCTGGCCCCCTGCTGAGGGAATCCACAAACAGGCCCCCTCCCTTCCCCCTCGTGCAGGTCTTCCCAGGCTCCATGTCCTACAGGGACAAAGGCCCTGTTCCCTGGGCGGTCCAGAGACCTGGGGGACAGGGCCCGTTGCCATGGTAACCCGACAGGAAGTCTCGGGTTACCACTGCTGCAGCAAGGCGCCTAGCTCTGTACTTAAGAGAGAGCAGGGCAACCCCCCTTTGTGTTCTTTTTGGCTGCGTGTGTGAGAGAAGGCTGTGCTGAGTGCCAGTTTCTCTCAGCCGACCATCACCCATCCCCCTTCTCCTC